AGAGAGAGAGAGAGAGAGAGAGAGAGAGAGAGAGAGAGAGAGAGAGACCCTGGTCTGACCTGGTGCATCCTGAGCTATTTCTTAACATAGTCTTTTCAGTGTCTTCTGAGTTTGGTCTAACTAGATATTGTCATAAACTTCCAATGCCAACCAGTATCAGGGTAACATGTGGAAACCCCCACCTCCTGCTACACACGTTTAAAGAAAACTTCCTTATTTATACCTGTGTCATTATTTTGGATCAAAATAAAACGGAAGTGTTAGGAATTGAATCCACCTGCCTTCATTCCTAAATCATCCCCAAACCCCACAAATAATATTTCATGGCATTTACATAAGGTTGATTCCCCAAGAACTGCAGCTCATCACTTCTAATTCTAAAGATTAGAGGATTTGTTCTACATTATAATGAAGAGGACAGAGCCGTTTTAGAATGGGTAGCCTATCTCACTCTTGAACTTGTTTCACTACATGAGGGTTGACTCTCAGTAGCTCTGGGCAGTGCCTGGGTATCATGGGGAGAGAAAAGAGAGATAAAGAAGAAAATCAAAGCCCTGTGGAACCTGGATGCCTGAGGGAAGTCACTGGATTAGAGGGACAGTAGACAGTTTTGTTTTTTTTCAGGCTTCTGAGGAATCTGTCAAGCTTATCACAGTGATAAGCAAGAAAATATGGATTTCCTATGTCCTCCCCTCCCTTCCTGTCATAGCTCTCTATACCTGCATTCCCAGTGGCTGATATTGTCAGAGCTTCTGGAGAACTTGCATTTATGTAAATGTCTTAGGAAGTCATGCTATGACATCACTCACTAGTGTAATATTGCACCATCCCTGGCCTTCTTCCCATGCCCTGACTCTGAACAACTGCTCTCCTGACTGTAGCGCTACTACAATTGATTGTGTTTCCAACGCATATTTGCAACTGGTGGGAAGCCCAGGTAGGAAGGGGCTACTTAAATTGCAACTACGATCATGTGAAGTCGAAAGACCCGAGCAAGGCTGCAAATGACCTGTGTAACCTTGGCCAAGACCTTTGCCCTCTCCAACTCTCAATGTATCAATAGGAGCAATGATTAGTTTGCAATTGGTGGTCTTGCCTAAGCATTCTCCAACAGGTTTACTGTATCCAGGGCACTGACTGAAAATTGTGAGATGAATCTTTCTTAAACATTGACAAAATGCTAATATTTGTGATTCTTTGTGATCATGCACAAGCTGGATGGTGAAGTCATTTTCCTTAGGAAATTCCATGAATTCCTTTTCCTATGTTGGCAAGAAGGAATCAAATTATATTTTGGTGATACTGGGATATGGTGAATGTTTGGATGCCTACATAGTTCCAGAGATGGCATTTAAAAAATCTGAAGCACCTCTCAAGCCCCAAATGGCACATAGGTATATCATGTTTTAGTCATTTATAGTCCTTCTGCTTCTTGCAACTAAACCTGGAAGTACCCAATGAAACACCAATTTTGGCTTTCCCCATTATACTCTATGAAAAAAAAAATCTGTCAGAGCAGAAGTGTGGCCTAAAATTTCTGAACCCTTGCTCATAATTTCTCAAGTGATGGTTTCCTCTTTTTTCCCAACATCATGTCCTACACCCACAATTTGCACAAGGAATTGGAAATCCACCCAGGCTTTCTGTGGGCTTGGTGGGAGAAGTGAGAAATTGACTCAAGAAAGAACTGGATGAATTGAAGATGTGTTCTTAGGCAAGTGAATTCTTCTGAGAAAATTCATTTGCAGTCTTCCTACAATTTGGCCCAGCTAAATCATTTTTATACTTTTGAAATATTAAATACAACAAGATGCACAAACATTAATGAATCACAACAAATTTTTTAGCTAATGTATACAGCCCTATCACTAACATGTAGATGGGCCTGGCTAACATTTGAAATGGGATTCTTTCTTAATATACCCAATATATCAAGTGTTCGAGGAATTTGCAGGACCCTTTGGTGTCTGTATGGTAAGATACAGGCTGTAGGCAACATCTATTTCCATCCTCTGAGATTGAAGATGCATAGCCATCTCCTATTTGGTATCTCTTTTCTGTCCCCGAGCCTCAACATCTTCATCTTCTGGTCCTTTATGTATCCAAGGAGACCAGGGGTGGGAGTGGATCTTGTAGCTCAATTTTCTTACAGATCCAATCAGAAGAGTTCCTCCTTCCGTACATTTTTAAAAGCCAAGAGACAATGTGGCTAATTTGTCCAAAAGAAGAAAATGCTCAGGAGGGACATGGCAGTTGTCTGCAAGTATCTGAAAGGCTGTCATTTGGAAGAGAGATTTGAAATGTTCTATGTAGCCTCAATGTGGGTAGAAGTAGGGACTAGAGTTAAAAATAAATAACTATCCAATGGGGAATGGGAATCTCCAGGAAGCCTTGGAGTCCCCAACATCAATGATATTCACATAGGAGAAAATAACTTCAATTGTTCCTTGACTTGACTAGACATTGGAATCTCATGATGAGTTTTTCTAAAATAGATCATCAGAACCCACAATTAAATCTCTTGCTTCTATATGTCTATGATGGATCGCTAGAATCTGAATTTTCTAAGTCCTCCAGGTAATCATGAGGTTCAAGCCAACACATATTGAGTATTTACAAGGGGCTTGGACATGACTATGTTTGATAATGAGGATCACATCACTCAAGGAAGAGAAGGATATTTCCAGTTTTTATTCCCATAACCCACCAGAATGTCATTTATCTTTAGCCCTTACTACATGCTAACACTGCTCTATGAATTTCAAAAAAAAAATCTTAAACTTTTGATGAAATGCTTTCCTGTTCAGAAGAGCTCAGTGATGTAGGTACAATTATCATTAATCTCATTTTATAGATGAGGAAACTGAGGGAAAAAAATTACATAACTTGCCCAAGGTCACAAACCTCCACTCAGCAGTCAATACTTAAAATCTACACTAGGCTGCCCCTCAGAACATTTGCTAGAGAACATTAATTCGTGTTCTGATGGATAGTTTGCTACTGGTACAAGCATCAGCTCAGGAGAATGCCCAGCCACATGGGTTTTTCCATTCTAGAAGTCCCCGATCTCAGAACACTCAGCCTGTGTGGCATCAGCAGGAGAGCAAGAGCCACCAGATACCACCAACTCAGAGGTGACAAAGGACACACTTTGAATGGGGGAAAAAAAAAGATCAACCTATGTACAGACACCCACACTGAGAAACCAAAACGAATGACTGACTCATTATCTGGAAGAGCATGCGAGGCATTCACAAACAATGGCAGCCCGTGAAGTGGAGTGAGAACATGTGCAGTATGGAACTCTCTCATTAAGAAAAACCTCTTCAAGTCCTAGCTACAACCAAAGCAATGTATTTCATGGGTAGAAAGACCACTGGCCTAGGAGCTTGGAAGCTCTGGGTGATATATTCATTTAATGTTACTAACAGTTAGCTCCATCGTGTGACTGGTTGTCCTCCGTTGGAACCCAGTTGACCCAATTCTAAGAAGAAGAACTTATGGTGAGATGAGGGAGTAAGAAATACAAATAAATGTCCGTGTGGCCTAGGCAAGCAGTGTGAAGTGTGAAACAAGTATTTCAAAGTCCTCTGGATTCTATGGGGCAGGGTTTTAGAATACATTTGGGAAGATATATGGTACCTGAAACTTGGTCTCAGTGTGGGGGCAGTAGGGAGTGGTGGGGACTGTGGCAAATTGAAGGGCACAAGCACCATCTAAAAAAGCAACTATGACTTGACTTCAGTTGATTTTCACCTCGGGGAGATGTGCACCCAATGGGGCCCAGAATTCCCTGTAAAGAAAAGCCAGGGTGCCAAAATCTCTTCGATTTTAAAACGCGGGCAACTGGTTTGCCTTCTTAAAAAATCTGGCATTAATTGTTTCCATTGTAGCTGAACTTGGCCTACGGGATGCCAGTTTTGAGTCCCCCAAATTGCCTCAGTGCCCTTTCTAATCCAAATTTTGGATATTTTCATATCTGATCCCTAAATTGTCCTTTATAAGCCAATAATCACTTTTTCAATTCATTTTTTTTTAAATGAACTACTAAGAAAAGAAAGCCCACTTAGGATTTTAGGACAGGGGACTTAAAATTTATGGAAAAGAGGTTCAATAAACTGCTGTTTCTGCTCCAGATGGGCCTAGATGACACCAAACATCTGGCTGAAAAACTGGAAAAAAAAATTAGCCAGTCATTAGAAGTTCCCCCATATTTCCTCGTCTCCAGATGGTTGACTTTTTCAGCCAGATGGGGTTCCAGCTTTATTTATGTGTTCGGAAGGCTTCAGGGAAGCTGCAAAGATGTGGTTGAGCATGAGGGGAGACAGAGACATCCCAGTTATGGAGGAATTCCTGTGTGCCGAGCCCTGGGCTCCGATGGGGTGACTCACATTTGGCATCTTCTACCCCCAGGAGACTCGGAACGCCATAAGGACCCCTGGGTTTGGAGACACGGCTGCTTAGACACAGTTCCTAAGTAGCCCCTTCTGTTCCCCCAGTCCTGGACTGAATGCCACACACCCCCCCCCTTAGCCATGGGTGTAGAAC